TCAATTTTAGTATTGTATATTGTAAGTGGTCAAAATGTTACTCTTCCTGATTTATAATTTCTTTCCCACGCTTCAAATAAATCGTGAACAGTAATGTCTTCTTGATCAACAGGTTTGACTTTTCCAGAAGCCACTTTCATTATAAAATCCGCTAGACTAGATACAGATTAAATAAATAAATATAAAAAGCATTCATTATTTGTAACGATAATAAACTAGTCAATACCTTTCTTCTTCTGGATAATCGAAACCAAGACTCTCAAAGTATTTTATTACATTATTTGTCGGACCAAAATATATAATCCTTCCACCTTTGCCCAATAATAAAACATCATCAAATGTATTAAAGGCTTGTTGAGATGGAGAATGAATAATTGTGGCCACAGTCAATCCTTGACTATGTGCAATCTCTTTTAACAAATTGCACACATCAAGTGCTATAGCAGAATCCAGACCTGAAGTTGGCTCGTCCTAAAAAATAATTTCATCATTAATAAAAAATACAAAATAGCAATAGCTATTTTGAAATTTGAAAAATAATTAATACCAAAAAAAGCATAGATGGCTCAGCAACCAATTCCATTCCAATGTTTACACATTTACGTTGACCACCAGAAATACCACGTTGTTCTATTTTATAAATATATATCAGATTAAATCATAAATAATAGATAAAATATAATCAATTAAAATGATATTTACCTTCATTTCCAATTACCGACTCCATTACATGACTCAACTCTAAAAATTTAATTACCTCAAAGACTTTTTGCTTCTTTAATGCTCTATTCATATGACTTGGTAACCTCATTAATGCTGAATGCTATTAATTGTAATATTGATAAATAAGTACTTAAAACATATTCAATCAATGTCAATATTGTGACAATAACGTACAACTAATATGTCCCGCACAGTTAATTCACGAAGCATCACGTCTATAAATTTATGAATCAAATTTAAAATTAAGTTAAACAAATTAGTAATCGAAAATTTAAATAAATAGAAAGCATACCCTCTTGAGGTACGAAACCAATAAGTTTTCTGTATTTTTCCAGTGGTTCAATTATGCCATTTACTATAATGAATTACAAGTAATTATATAAATAATATAATTATTATTCAAAATCAAATACTTGTTTATTACTACCTTTTACTTTGCCGCTTGTTCGCTTTACCTTACCAGTCAAAAGTGACACGAATGTGGTTTTACCCACACCTAAATAAAATATATTCAATTATTTGCATTAAATGCTAAACAAATAAATCTATCACTATTAATTTGATAATAATTTACCAGATGGTCCCATGATCGCGCATGTTCTTCCATGAATAAGTTTTCCTGAAACACCCTTTAAAAAAAAATAATTAAAGATTCAAAAAAAAGAAATCATATTGCTTACCATACCTTTATAATTTCAATTCCAGATGGCAGCACTAACCCCAAATTCTCAAATTCGATGTCAAAAGTTTTTTTTACAGGACCTAAAGTTCTTTTTAATTTCATACTTTGATCTGATAATAATCTATTATATTTCTCACTTTCTAATTGATCAATTTGTTTAATAATCTAAAATAATGCTAAAAATATTATTTTGATAAAAAAAACTAATACAAAAACCACTAATTTATTTGCTTTGTCTGAGCCTGCAGGGCAGTTTGCTAGGAATTCACAGGATTTGGGATTTATGGTACCAACGTTACAAACATATTAAATAGCGATTGATAGATTAATGTTATATAAGACAAAGTAGGTTAATCGTTTTTTTTATGCTTACCTTCTGGGCACAGTGTTATGGTTTTGGCATCTATAGAACAATAATAACCTTTACAACAATACACCGGTTGTGCTATTAAAAGGAATTATTATTATTATCATCATTATTTTACTTGAATACTTCACATAATAATCATAATATTTCCAGGTCATTATTTACCAGAATTCTCTGGGCAAAAAAAACCGGGTGAGCATTTAACCATCGTACTAACATTAAAGGTCATGGAATTGTTATCAATGATAGGTTCAAAGCAAAAATATCTAATGTAAAAAAAAAACAATATAAATATAATTTATAAATATTTAATGTTTGAGCTTCTTTAATTATGAATAACTACCCAGCTGGACATTCCCAATGAATTAATAGACTATTAACATTAATATTATCTTCTGGCTGAGGAGTTGAAACATATTGACACTAAGAATAAAAGCAAAGGAATAAATAAATATATTTATCAAATTCATATTGCAAAAAAACATTAAAGCCACTAATCTAACATTAGTATTCGGATACGTTTTATATTGGATCAAATTAAAATAAATCCTAGGATTTAGTAAAGAATTTGGATCTGATGCGTTTATAGTGATTGTAGATTGATTTTTAGGATTCGGAAATGATATTGTCGGAGTTTTTATGCTTGGTAAAGTTTGAGATAATATTAGCGTCGACAAATATAAAACATATAATAAGCAAAAGAAGGGTTGATTCGACATTTTATATATTTTATAATTTTGCAAAAAATAAAAAAAAAATAGGTGTGTGAAAAGATATAGATGGTATTTATCTCTTGACTACGGTTCGTAATCAGCAGACAAATAATTTTATGAAAAGTTACTAGGACATTTTTGGTGGAGATCTAATTAATAGCATATCCAAGAAAAATTGGGCCTCAATCATATAAAATTTACATTTTCCCTTGGTATCACTCATTTAATAAAAAATAATTTGAGAAGTTTCAAAATAAAAATAAAAAATAAAAATAAACTAAAAATAAAATAGCGCATTTCAGAAATAAATGAGCAAAATTAGTAAATATATCTATACGTACTATAAGGTTTTAATTTGTCTGCCTATTTCTCGTAATTTGATTGGTCAATTTTAAGATCTACTTCCAAATGTAATCAATAGTATAACCACTGCTTAAAAAGTATGATTGCTACTCAGCATTATGAATTTTCAACGATTTATTATAAAATTTCGGCAAAAAATTTAGACATTGAACGTAAATGGTTCTTGGATTTGTCATTGTAATCAGCAAATTTTTCATCAATATGAATCGATTAATTCGTCATTGTAATGACCAAATTTTTCATCGATCAGCATATAAACTGTATACATCGACCAAATGATCTGCAACTAATTAAATGTTCGACTAAATGAACTTTCGGTAAAACAACCAATGAACTATACAAAAATAGTTCATTTTTAATCGTGTATGGACATTAGGACATGCCTAGAGTTGGCGGTAGAATTACTGAATTAAGGCATTCTACCATATGGTAGAATTAATTACGACACAGAACCTAATTGGCGTAAATATTATGTGCCGTAATGTCGTAATGCCAGTGTATACTTCAAGAAAGTACAGAGTAATATAAAAAATGTTCATGTCAGTTATTTGAAACAAAGGTGTTTGCAAAGCTTTGTTTGAGTCTTTCAAAATTAATATATTATTAGCATAATTTTAGGAGATAAAAATCAATTTTGGAATTTCAAATGTCAAATTAAATAGTGTATTTGGCAATTCATGTTCATAAAGTTTATAACAATAAATGTGATTAGTTAGACCACGCAAAGTTAATTTTTCGTTTTGCATTACATGGATTTCAAAATCAACGGTCAGATTTTTTTTTTTATTTTTTATTTTTTTTTTTTTTAATTCTACAGTAAATAATAGACTCATATTCGCATTTAAGGTCATGCATAGTTGATTTTTCGCTTTACATAACATGGAATCAGAAAATTGGTCGGCAATCGAATTTTTTTTTATCAGTTCTATCGGATAATTCCGGAAAAACAGGGTCTCTATTGGGTGATACCGGAATAATTTATGGGTAAAAATTAAATGGCAAAAATAGAACAATTGGCACAATTGGAACCTAAAAAAAAAAAAAAGAAAAAAAAATTTGAAAATTTGAAAAAAAAAACTTATAGTTATTGTATGGGTTGTAAAAAAATAACTAAATTCACACGGGTTAAGTTACATGGCCTTTGTGCCATGTAACCCCGTGCAAAATTTGGTAGTTTTATAACCATATAATAACTATTTTATTGCACGGTGTCTGGCGTACAATTCTGTGCCAATAAGTAAATGAAAAAAAGCACTAGTTGTTACATAAGACCCGTGCAATAATCATTTGAAACTCCACTACAACTTAATTTCGCATTAATTTAATCAAGTGAACTTGATGTTATTTATTAAACCAGTTCTGCTCGTTTCACTGATGCTCCTTTTGCAGATACAAGACTTTATCAACAAGTTTATTTTACAGGCATTTTAATCACTGACAATTAATTATCGACATGTCCATTTTACCGGCACATTTATTTCACCGACACTTAATTCACTAACAATTAATTCATCAATTCGGATAGTTTGAAGAAAAGGAACTTGATTATATGATTAAACACTCAGCTTAAGTTCGGGTTAGTGTTAGGGTTTAAAATTAAGTTACTATCGGATTTTTTTAACAATATTTGATCGCTTTGTTTTTAGTATTAGGATCCGTTTGGTTAACATTTGGATATCCCAGGATAGTATGGATTTTCAAAATTTTGACAGGGCGTAGAATTGTTTTTACTGTCGCGTGATAGTCAGAAAACAAATATCATCAACCATAAAATTACTTTGTTTATATTTTGGTTTGGGTTTAAGAAGATAAGAACTAGTAGCTATATGGAAAAATTGCACGATGAGTTTTTTTTTTTGGTAGAGCCCCAAAGATAGTTTACTAGCCTAAATTTCGAGATAAATGTGATTTTTGTAAAGCAAACGATCAGTTTGATTTTTTTACGTTACACCTAACCCTAAATTTTAATTGGCTGATAAACGTCAGAAAATCATGTGACAGTAATGGTGTCAAATTTTGCTCACAGATAATGAACCCGGATAACAAAAAATATTCCGGATGATTATATAGACGGTTTAATTTACCGCATATGGGCGGATTTTGGAAATTCAAATATGTCACCTGAATTTGGATGTGATATTCGTGATACCTAAAAATAGACTAACCAATAAAATTATATAAACAAAATCACGAGGATCTGCATGACCAATCAGATCAATTAAAAAGTTTAATATACAAGTACTGTAATATTATTAACATTTACAATTGATTTATACATATTAATTAAATAACATCGCTCATATTTATTTATTATTTAATAAACTTATTATATCTATCTTCGAATTATATAATACAGAATATTGAAATTGTGCAAATGTATCTAAAAAATAATTATTTTCAATATAGTAGTTAGTAAAAGTTTTGCTTGTTCTAGAATTTTAAAAAACTCTTTGAGGTCTTTAAAACTACAGAACTAAACTACAGAACTAAGATCTTGTTAAGCATAAATATATATTTTCAGACCATTATTATAAAAAAAAAAAAGAAACTTTGCAAAAGTAAATAGTATTTTAACTATTATTCTAATAAGCAAATCTTTGTGTTGTTACCAGTAAAAGTCTTGTCTATTTTGAGATCTTAAAAAACTATTTTGGGATCATTGAATCTAAGGCCTTTCTAAGAATAAATACAAATTTTCAAACTGTTATAATAAAGAAAAAAAAAGCAAACTTTGTAAAAATAAGCTGTACTTGAACTATTATATTAATAAACAAACCTTGGCATTTGTTACTAGTAAAAGTTTTGTCTATTTTGGGATCTTAAAAAACCATTTTGGGATCTTTGAATCTAAGGTCTTGCT